TGGCTCGAGCATCTTAAAAAGACTTTCCGAGTGATGCAACATCAAGGGAATCTTCCTTCTGAAAGGTGGGTCGAGACGACTACATGGTTCTTAGGTCAAGAACCAACATCCTGGTAGGAACAGGAGGTTTATCGGTTGACCTCAAGAACCAGCAAGTTTCAGGGTCTGGAAGTTATGGATAGATGAGTCGTGGTGGTACTTACCATTATCAGGGTGACACCGCTCGTTAAGAAATCTAGGAGTTAATTGAAGCAAGAAGTTAGGGAAAAAGAAAGATCTCAGTCTTCGCTTCACCCTCCTCAAAGGACTCCTCTAAAGACTATGTATAACTTAAAGTTGGATAAGTTTAAGGGTCATGAAGGACATGAAGGAGTAGAGCGGTGGCTCGAGCATCTTAAAAAGACTTTCCAAGTGATGCAAAATCAAGGGAATCTTCCTTCTGAAAGGTGGGTCGAGACAACTACATGGTTCTTAGGTCAAGAACCAGCATCCTACACCCAGTCCTGTCGTACAGACCACTTTAGGTGGTTCCGACTTGTGTGCAGGTATATTTGTTGAGATGTGGATTTGAGCCGTACAGGTCACATTGGGTGACTCCGGCTAGATGGATGAGCTATAGATTCAACAGTACAAGTCATGTTAGGTGACTCCAGCTGACATATCATTTGCATTGATTGATATCACCTGGCTTACATATTTTATGTTGAGATATTTGACATGGCATATATGTGGATTTTGCTAATTCGAGTATGGTTTCGATATATGTATATATTCTATTTTCTGGGAAATTATACAGGTTTTACGGCGAGGGGTTAGAACTTTTGAGAATGAAATGATTTTGAAAAACTTTGTTTTTATCCACTCACACTTTCTGTTTTGCGCCCTCAATGTTCTAGTTAGGAGTGCTTTTGGTGGCTTGCAAGGAACCCACGGCAGCTTTGATAGATTATCACCATTGTAGGATCACCTTTGCGTGTTGTATAATTAGTATTCGTCATACTGGACTGCTCTTAGGCTACTTATGCTCTGGTTGTGTTTATCACACTTAATCTCACACTAGCATGTTATCTTAGCTTGTACTGCTAGTAGTTTGGTTTTAATTATTCACATTTCTATTATTATTAATGCTTCCGCACTGTGCACTTAGCTACGTCACCCTCACATGATAGCCAGCACACCTTGATTTCGGTCGGGGTGTGTCAGGCCCTCAATGAACTTCTCCCACAATGGAAGGATGAACAGGTACGGATCCTCCTCCATTAACCTTCCCTCCAGTTTCTGTTTCCCCAAGGCTAAGAATTTACTTGAACCCTATACCCTTCTTCCTTTTTATTTTATTTTTTTTTGCTAAGTTATTGAAATCTTACTGTGCATTGATGTCGATTGCTTCGGGTCACTATGTTTTTCGTATCTGCAATTAACTCAAATTACGATTGGAAGGTGATAAGATTGTTGGTTGCATTGTACATCGCCATTGTTGCTGATTTTGCCATTGTTTAGCCCCATCTAGTTTTGGACAATCTATGTGGTCGTATCAAGTAGATTCCTAATATGAAATAAAAATGGAGGCTTTTACTTTTACTTGTTTGTGGTTAGCTGAATACTTTGGCTTCCAAAAGAAGTTCCAATAGAAAAAAGTTTTCGTGGAAGCTTGTAAAAATTGATTCTGATACAGTTTGCATGTTTACAGTCATATTTTGAACAAATGGATACGGCATATTTTTCCTACATGCACTCCATTATTTTGCTCTGAAATAAATACTTGAGAGAGAAGGGGCATTCTCAGCATCAGGCCTATGCGTTGGGAATTAAAGAGGTAGCATACTGATTCAAGCAAATAAATTATTCATACTTTAAATATCAGTTGTATTCTTACTTCTGTTTCGGCTAGACGTTTCAGCGATTTTAATTGATATTACAGTGATTCAAGCAAATAAATTGATATTACAGTGATTTTAATTGACAGGACTTAGTCTGCACTCCCTCATTTTCTGTTTGAATGGCTGATGTAGTAATTTATCTTGTTTGATATTTTTATATTATTGGAGAAGTATACATGGAGCTTAATCTTTCTTTCTTTCATTTTTTTTTTTTTTCCGGCTTGGAGGAGGGGGAGAGGAGGGAGAAGAAGGAGGAGGAGGAGGAGGAGGCGCCGCCGGCCGGGGGGGGGGGGGGGGGGAGGGGGGAGGGGGGGTTAGTTAATAGTTTGATTATATGTACTAGAATTGTATTGACGACTGTTTAGTATTCTCCCGATAGAAATTCAAACATCATCCTGCAATCAAAACACTGCTAGAAAGTGGGACTGTTCTTCAATATGGTGCTCGCACCTTGAATGAGGGTGGTTTTCAGGTAAATTAGTAATTTCATTTCAAGTTATATTTACATGATATGTGTACATAAAGAAAGAATCTCAATGGAATGCTATCACTCTGAAATTTCTCCACATGGCTGCATCATTATCCCTTTTGAGTTGGATATCCATGGACAACAATTGTAAATATCCAAAAAAATATCCCCTACAAGTATGTGTCACCACTGTAAGATGTGGTTAAAGCACATTACAAGCACAAGGAGACAATTCTCTCTCCCTTGGTTTCTCAACTTTTGAATATATAGGGTGATACCCTATTGCTAGACATTCTGGCAACATAGAGACAGTGTAAATGGATCACACATTCAGGCAAAAGTTTACCTATCAATGGTTTAGATTTAGTGTTTGGTGTATGTGGTCAGGCTATCATTCTGAACCATTGATAAGATGGATGTTTGCTTAACGTGTGATGCCAGATTGATAGTCTTGCGACATATCTGATATATGGTACGGCAACAGTACTCTCTCCGGTTCCTCTATAATGTGTGTGCGCGATCGTAACTATGTATATACCATTTTTCAGTTCTACATGTTAATATGTTATACAAATACAAATATGATGCTAGTTAAATTTCAGTCTATCCCATATCCAGTTTTCCCTGGAGGAGCGGATATTGGATGTTCAGCTGGATTTTTAAACGTACACAAAATAAAAGGAACTCTTTACTGCAATGAAATCAGGTATCTTTTCACCAAATAGTTGTTTCTATTCATTATGTCTAATTATGTGAAAATAATTATACATGCTCAAAATTTCAATTGTTACAACAAATGCTGGTAGATTATATTTGTTAAGTCACATAATTCACGGTTTATCATTTCTGTTGGAACATCAAGTGGTCCAAATGGTCCAGCTTGTAGTACGTATTTGTCATGGCTGAAGGGACGTAGTAGTATCATGGATTGGAAAACTCAGAATCTTTTGATGTGTTACAGAAGTGCTTTCACTTCTATGGATTGCTTTTAAGTTCATGAAGATGTCTAACTTATTAGTTATATTACCTACAGGCATGCTAGCTGCAGAAGGTACATTCCGTCCACTTAATGGAGGCTCAAGCATGGGAAAATATTGGGATGCTTTAAGAAATTCATGGATATGGGAAGAACTGTACAGAGCTCACAACTTCTGACCAGTTAGTAGAAAAATCCTTTGCTTTCTGTTTTGGACTTTGAGTATGGACTTATTCCTGGCCTGGCCTTTTAAGTGCTCTAGAACAGTGAGATCCTGTTGCTGCTTATTACTTTGATTAGTATTGTCTTATAATATAGCTTTCGTTCAAACCTTAATCGCCAATGTTTGCTGCCCATCAGCTATATAATGAAAGGAATAGCTCCCTGGACGCTGAAGCATGGAAAACCAGACCATGAAACAATAAATGTCAGACAGTATTCTGAAAACTATTCGAACTATGGATTTGCATAGTTACCACACTACTGTTTGGCACTAAGTGATTCAAATATATGCTGGTTGCACAATTTCATTCTCCAATTCAATATCCAAAGCCAGATGGGGTTTTATCTTTCGATGTTCCAACCTCCCTGCACAGGTTTTTAAATACGAATATTTTCTTAAGCTGTCAAAAACTAGAGTATGCCTCTATGCTTTTGTACTCTCTAAATTTTTCATTAGCCGTCAAAGAAGTAGCAATAGAGACTGATATTCCGGCTTGCTCTTCTCCTCTTTTGTAGTAAGTGAAGTATTTAATTTTATTAGCTTAAAATAGGAGCAACACAAATCATGACCATGATCAACCAGCTCACCTTCGGTTGAGAGACCTCAAGATTCCTGAACTCATAAATTTGCCAGAGTATGCTGGCCGAGTCAAGATACTGTCCTGCGCATGTATACGAGTAACGCCCATTCTATCATTGCTTGTATTTGATTGATCATCTGTAAATGGATTCTCTTATTCATCTCAAGTTTTAAAATGTAGGTATGTCCCTGATGAAGGGGGTGAGCTGAAGTTGCCGATCAATGCTCAAAATTGCCTACATTGCAAGGTAATATGAACGGGTAGTAAGAGCTACCTTGCAGATCAATGCGCTCATTTCCCTTACGCACGTTAATGTACCGATTTTGCTTTGATGTGTGCTTACAGGCATGAAATATGAACGACCCGAAGCAAGACATTAAGTGGACTGCACCAGAAGGAGGTGGGGGTCCTGGGCCTCCTGGCTACTCAATAATGTAGAGAATAACTACTTGTTTTGCTAGTCATTGCTTGTGTATGCAATTTTGTAGTGTTTGAAAGGAACAAGTACGTTTTATGACTAATTCATCTTCTAAACTCAACTCTTACAAAACTGCCTTTCTTCCTTGAATTTAAATGTTAGGAGTTATCCGATCCAATTGGTTTACGGATCGTAAACGTAGTCCATTAAGCAAAGACGGGTTGTAATTGTATACCGGTATTTGAAAACGTAATCCATTGAGCAAAGACAAGTTGTGATTGTATAGCGGCATTTAGAAACATGTTTTACGGGCGCCCTAGAGCACCCACGGTATTGTGTGTTGTTTTGCCATGACAGGATCATCACATTATCCACCACTCTTGATTGCCTCCTATTTCAACTGACGGCAATAGCTACGGGATTATAAAGGATAAATATTGACTACACATTCTAATTTTCAGTAACAATCTTCATAATCTAAATCCACCGTAAATACCCAGAACAAAACACAAATCACAAGGTGCTACAACTATGATAATTCGATCTACAACTAAAATGATATGCATACAACTGACTACAAACAAATGCTAACTGGAAAACATTTCTTAACAATCCTTTGTTACAGATTGGTTGACCTCTGATGTATTCTCTTTCTGGCTTGGCGAAGGCACGGATCCTCCTAGTTTCAAGTCCCCACTTTGCTGTTGCTGTTGCTGAAGCTGCTGCTGCATCTGTTGCTGCTGAAGTTGATGGAATTGATGCTGCTGAAATTGGTGCTGCTGCTTCTGAGAATGAATCTGGAGCTGTTGAAACTGCTGTGCAGTTAGAAGGGTGTGCATAGCTTGATTGGTTGGATAGAATTGCTGCTGGCCCGCCCCGCCAAAACAAGCGTAGTTCATCATAGGTCCTCCATTTGGCATAGCTTGGCCAGTCACAACTTTCAGATGCTGAATTTCTTCTTTTAGTGCATCGTTCAATGCTACAACACAAACAAAAATAAAAATAAAAGAAAAAAAAAAAAAACAATATTGTTTCGGCAAGTCAATTTCATTCCCATAAAGACCAAGAACCAGAAGTTACATGGAATCGGAAAAGCAAGAAAACCTCCACAAACAAGATGCAACAGTTTTGTTTGTTTTTTGGTTCCCGTTATGGGCAAAGACCAGAATGACCTAAAACTTCTACATCCAATGCTAATTGGCTCAATTAATGAAACTTCAAATATGATGGCCAGTCCACTTCAGGTTAGCCAGCATGTTGTTTATGGCTACTAGAACATTGTAAACGGGCATAAATTCAAGGTCAATCTTTCTTGCCCATATCGGTGGTGGAGGTAGGACCAGAACAGTTTATACAAGCCATGAAACTAGATCCAATGACTGTACACAGGATACGACATAGAAGCAAATAAAGGGACTAAGAACAAAAATGTAATCAATTTGATAGATTTGATAGACAAGCAGTAAAATGGTCAATGCAATTATACATTTCCAGCTCAGTAATAAAAGCAGCAAACATGTAAACCCCTCAAATAAAGCATTCATCATAAAGATGCTCAATTCATGCAATATAAATTTAAAAACACTAAACCAAAATGAAAATATACAAACAAAGAATCATTCTACTTAATTTTAGTACCTTCTGGATAAGTTGAATAAACCACAAAATCATAAACTCATTATGCAATAGGAAATGTCAAGGAACCGAAGTTCGTTTGTAGAATCTTATATTGTAGACTACCAGAAATTAGGTATTTGGTAAAAGTACATGCAGAAAAAAATCATCATTAACAAAAATCAGAATTAGCAACCAATTTCTATTCTGAGTTAACAAGAGGAAACAATGTCTGCCAAAATCACTTATGGCATCTTGTCAACCGCCATCTTGGATTCTAATCTCCAACAGAAATCAAGTATATGTATGTTAGCATCTACTTACTGGATCGTCCACTTTGTACAACATCTAAAAATCATGCTCAATTCTTCCTTTCAGTGTGTCAGCGTGCTTATATCATGCTCAATTCTTCCTTTCAGCCAATGACCAGACAATTCAATAAAATTAATTTCTTGTTTCTATACATTAGTCATTACTATAAAAAGAAGAAGACAGATGACAAAGATAAGGAAAGAAATACTACACATGAAAATTAATTCTAATCATGAAGGGAAGAAGGGGCTCACCATCTTGCAAATGAACCTGTTGCTCCATTGTTTGCAAGCGCAGTTTCAGTTCACTGTTCTCAGCAGTCAGACCATTTGTATCTCTCTGCTCATAAGAAAAATTCATAAGAATAATCAACTTATATCCTCATTATGTAAGCTAGATAAAACCGCCATGTGACTAATGCAGTGAAAACAAAGGGAAATCATAAGCTAAGAGTCATTTAAGCAGTCCAATGAAGAGAACCTGGTCTAATAAAGGACTGGGTTAAGCCGATGAAATTTACCTGCAAGAGAGTCAATTGAGCAGACAAGGAAGTTGCTTCTGTTTGCAACGTCTGGACTTTCTGTTCAAGCTCAGCAATATATCGCATTTTCCTTTCCTTTGACCTTGCAGCTGACTGCCTATTTGCCCAGATCCTAATGCATGTCAACCAAACGTAAAATATTAAGCATGATGGTTGAAGCAACAAGCAAAACAAGGGAGCAACCAACTCTTTTATTTTCATTTTAAGAAGGGAAAATGAAGATGGGTAAAAACTAGAAAGCACCAAAGAAAATCAGATCCACTTCAAGGGTGACAAGATGTCACAGGGGCATTAACAGAAAAAAGGAAAACAAATCAAGCCAAGCCCACCCTTACCACCTAATACTATCTAGACATGATTCTTGAAAGATCAACTCCATTGCCTTAAAAATCAGCCTAAATGAAGACTGAAGAGACAGAATCATAAGGGTGTACTTCTAGATATGAACCAGACAATATGATGAGATGAAGTCATCAGATAATCTTACTCTTGGGTAATGTGAGTATAATATACGCTTCATAAAATTTTCATCCCAGACAATTTTCAAAGAGAGTAATATATATTGAATGATACTGCTACATGAACTATGGTCCAAAACCACTTGAGCAATTGGTTTGAACAACAATATTTCTATTGAACTCGATCGAAGTATTACCGATTCTAACAACAATGCATCTTAAGGGACCCAATTAATGTATTGTAGTCCAATTAGGAGAGTAAATGAGTATTACGTATCAAATGAGCAACACAGAAACCTGGTACATTAGAACTTGAAAGCAACTTACCATTTAAAAAATAAAAGCAGGGTACAAGTCAATTAGTAAAAAATTAGGAAATGCATTGTCTACCACATCTGGCGGTAAACCAATGCCAAACACCTCATACATCAAATTATTTGGAGCTCCTATGCAATAAGTACAAAGTTATTCACCAGTGATACACTACAATAACAACCTTGAATGGATTCTTAAAAAGCTAAGAACTTTGACTGCAAACCATAAAGAAAACATTGCATGAACTCAAAACAAAAAACACAGACTATTGTCTGGAATTACAAACGCTAATAATTTTAGAACACCATAATCGTCAATCCATGCCACATGTGTCTGGATAAACACGTGTCCTTGCATATGAAACACTACTGCTATCAATAAAGGAAAAGTAGACTCATCAACAAAATTTAACAATAAACTACGTTTATTAAGAGACTAACAATTAAGTATTCTTAAATAGTAGGATTTTAAAAAATGACTACCTAGGCTTGAACACATGTTAAAATTACATGCAAAAGCAATAGCAATTCAAAGAATTATCAACTCAAGTTTGCTACCAAAAAATACTAACAGCTGAATTCCTAGTTAAAGAGTAACATTATATATGATTACTCAAGAATTAATACCTCTTTGCACGTTTTGGATCAATCAGGGCAAGCTCAGCAAGCTTAGCAGCTGACACCGCTTTCTTGGAATCAGCTGCATTGATATCTTCTGAACTGGAGACCAGCATCTCCGGTTTGATGGTTGACGACCCATCCATTGACTGGCTATGTTGGTGCCTAACTCTGGGTCTCTCATTAGAACCGATGGCAATATTCTCCGCGGATGAGGTGGGTGATCTTGACACTGGTGCTATTACTGGAGTAGGTGCTGCTGCAGAAGATGAAGGCTCCCCGAACTGAAAGGATGATGTAGCAGATGATGAATTGAACTTTTCCATATCAAGGTACATAGAGAACAAGTCTTCCTCAGTCTCATCCGAAAATGAAGGGCCATCCGCACCACCCACAACACCAAGGTCACTATCAAAGCTAATATCATCTGGAAGGGTCAAGATTTCCGAATGGGCACGTCTATGACCCAATTTCCTTGGTGGGTTATCTGGCATTCGGCTAATATCATGGCTAAAGTGACCAGAGTCTGCACTAGCACCCGAGGCCAGCGGAGGAAACGACGCTGAAGAGGATGGCTCAGGTTTCACATTGAAAGCAGCTCCGGTTGGCAAGAAACCCGAGTACCTGCCTGATTGGGGTGGGAAACCTCCACCATGGGCAGGGGACTTGTCCTTGTCCATCTGTAAGAATCACAACCCCTAAAATTTACCCTTAAAAATAGCTAAGATACCAAACATCCCAATAAATGCCAACTCCCTTCGGAACAAATCAAAATCTAAACCAAGCATCCAAATTCAGATTCTCAAACAAGAAAAAGAGGCAATTGAGATACGAAACAACACGAACAGACTCCCTCCAACGAAAAAAATTGAAAGTTGCATAAATAAAAAAACACTAAGAAATGGAGATCTGACAGCAACAGGTGCAAAATAAATACACGAGGTTGAGCTACAAAAGGAAATTAAGCAAACACATAAAAGAGCTTCAACACGAGAAAACCCTAGAAATCATCGCAGAGCAAAGCAAACAGCAGCTGAACATGGTAAATTTCTGGGAAAATATGGGAAATTTTGTGGGAATTTTCTCAGGAAAAAGGATATGGGGGTTGGAATTATTCTTACAGACGCAGATCTTCGGATTGGGAGGTGGAACGCTAGAGAAAATCAATCACGCAGGCTTTTGAAGAAAGCGAGATTCGAATGAGAGCAGTCGCATGCAGATAGAGAGGGATCTTAGAGACGAGGAGGAAACGGAAGCTTGTGAGTGACGATACAAACATAAGAGTATTATAGAACATCATTCCATTCCAACCGGAAATGTCGCTCCCACCACGTAGCCTGTCGGAGACGCGCAAATTTCATTTCGGTTCGCTTGTGTTTCACGTACATACATTATAGGAAAATAGATAAAAATAGGCATTTTTCTCAATTTCGGGATAGAAATAGGATTTTTTTTACAATTGAAAATGACCTAATTGCCCTCGTATATAAATAAGTTATTTCTTCCAATTTTCTGATTTATCCCTCTCTCCTTTCTCTCGAATAACCCTAACAATGCACTCACCCTTTAACAACCCACCTCACCAGCGGCAACCTTTTCTCTCTCAACGATGCCCATCTTTTCACTAGTCCCCTTTCTCCTTTCTTTTCGAACTGGAGACCCAAGATTCAGATCACATCTAACTTTTGGGTGACTACAATGTCCAACTCACAATCCCAAAAGTTTGGTGTGTAATGAACAATGTATTAAAAGCGTGAGGCGTGGGCGAGGTGTCCAAGGCGAAGCCCAGCTTAGGCGTGAGGCATGAGGCGTGAGGCAAAGCCTCACGGGATTTAATTATATATATATATATGTTTTATATATTATACATATAATTGTATAAAAATAATACTATGTAAAATAAACATTCATTCTCAATTTTTCATTCAAATCCATAGTCATTCAAAAGATAATATCATCTAAATTCATCATTCAAAGGTAATATCATCCAAATTCATCATTCAAAAGGTAATACAAACAAAGAAAACAATCATTCATCCACATCCTCTTCATAGAAATCAAAATACAAACAAAGATATCAATCAATCATCCAAATCCTCTTCATCTAATTCTAAATAAAAGGCATCATCCTCTTCATTGCCAACTCTAGATGACCTTGTAGGGTATGTCATCAATTCATCAAAAGATTCTTCTGAATCATACTCCACATTTCTTCGACTTGAGGATTCTTCATTACCCCGTTTTCTTTTGTATGTAATAGGACCCCAAGGTTGAGTAGGCTCGCGAGGAGGAGTAGGCTCACGAGGAGGAGTAGGCTCATGTGGAGGAGGAGTAAGCTCACGAGGAGGAGGAGTAGGCTCACGAAGAGGAGGAGGAGAAGACTCTCTAGGCTCTCGAATGTATGGGCCACCTTCATAAACCGGGGGTGGCACATTCCTTACGGCCTCAACATTATACAATAACTCATCCTTAAGCCATGTTGGATATTCGGGAAGAACGGGATCTTCTATCTCCGTTATCCATTCATCATCGGAGGCAATTTCTTCCACAACAATAGGATCATACTTCTCCCTCTTTTTCTTACTTCTCTGTTGTAAAGCCAAATTATACTTGACATAGGCTAAAGCATTAAGCCTTTTGTGTTCAAGCCTATTCCTTCTTTTTGTATGAATCTACAAATAAATCAATTCTATTATTACTCAAGTCTAATCGTCTTAAGCAAAAATGACACTTAAGATACTAATAAATTAATAATATATCTACTTACCATTGAAAATGTGCTCCAATTCCTCTCACATCCCGACGCACTACAAGTAAGGCTTAGAACTCGAACATCAAAAACTCGGGTGTTTTATGCCCAAAGCGCTCCCACCAAGCCGCTAAAAAACAAATATTAGTAAGGTAAGTAATTTAAGGGTTAATGATAAAAAGATATTAACAATTGACTAATTAAATCTTACTTGGTGTTCGCTTTTTCCTAGTTTGCATAGCCATAGAATCTGCAAATGGACCACGCTTATTATTATATAAATTCAATTAACAATCGGCCTCTTCACGTTCTTTCCCTTTCCCATGCATCCTATCCATGCAAGCAAACAACCCATTTCGCACTTCATCAGTATCTGAGAAATTATCCTCATATCGAAATTGTGGGTTTAAGTAATAGTCTGCCATATGTAGTATCGATGAAGTTGATCGTCCTATCTACGATCTATCTTTCTCCAAATAGGCATATATTTTTTCTCCACTTTGTTAAGATTGCTTGCAATTTTCTCTTTTGCGGCATCCATCAACTCATATATAAAACCCATGGGAGGTCTTTCCTGCGAATCAACCTCTCTCAAAACACAAACAAGAGGAAGAACACCCTTAATGCAAAAGGAAACTCAACCCCAAAACTCATGATCATGTAACACATGATGCTTAGCCAACTTTGCTTCACGGGATTTTGAATAGGTACTTTCCGACCATTCTTGAAAGGCAAACAAAGCAATAAGATTTTCCTTTTTCTTTTGTAAGCTTTGTAGTGTAAGGAAAGAAGTGGCAAACCTAGTGACCGCCGAACGAAGAATTTCCGAATTGTTGGTGTACTTTCTCATCAAAGCTAGTACCCATTGATGCCTATATAGATACCTTGAAATACACCTAGCACGTTTGAGTGTGTCATCAAACCATGCCATCTTAGAAATGTTGGAAATGTGCCCTAAAACCAATCATATGATGATACTTTATGGACATTTCACATGTTAAACTAATCTAGTTTAATATTAAGGGCAAAGATTATTGTTTGAGCCGTCTCATATAAATGTTATATGCTTAAACGATAAGTCCAAGGAATATGTGATTGGAAGAATGCGATCTAAAGAAGTTAGATTCATGAGACCATTCTTTCGTTGACACATCCTAAACGTTCCTGATCATAGGATTGTCAATTGGGCATTGACAGTCCGTTAAGATCAGTACGTGCTATGTCTTCTCTCAGGGAGAGTGACTAGTCTCGAGTCATTGGTGTGTGTGACATCAAGACAAGTACGTAGGTGCTCAATAGAGAATGAGTTCACTGAACACGATCAACGAAGAGTTCTCATATTCATGTCACATGAGAACTCATGGTTGGGATAATGCAAATTAGTCTTTTGACCTGAGGCATCACAGTTGTCTTGTGGTTAGGTCCTTAATCTTTGATTATGTCAAAGTCACTCCATCAGGAGGGTGTCCACGGCATCGTTGGGGTTAAGCCACTTAGCCATGGAGGCAAGTGAATGCGCAACAAGGGATCTCTAACCTTCAAACTGTTTGAGGGAGAATACTCTATGATATGATTAAGTATCTTTGGCCAAAGTATGAATGAGATTTAGGAATGTGTTCCAAATCACATTCAAGGTAATCATATAAGCACAAGACTCACATTGGATAGTAGACATGAATAAACTATCAAACCAAACAATGTGGTCAAGAGTATTGTATTAGAGAAAGACCGTATTGCATTTGTAATCCTAAAACTGAATAGGTTCTCCACCTCTTCTGATTAGCTTGGGTAACCATGACATGCTGCTAGGCGTCAACCATGGTTTGTGGAAGCCCTAAAAGTGTATTATCACTAACTGGAAAATTGAAAGTAAGTTTCAATTCACAATCGATTTGAAAGAGTTTGAATCGCCCACTGCCTCGCTAAAAGGAACCTAATGGATCGTACACCGTGTAAGGTAGAGATTGAAGATTCAACGAAGATGAGTAAGAATAATTAAATGGTTTAATTATTTATGGCAAGGATTAATTAATATGTTAATTAATCAAACGAATAAGTTCGTTAAAGACCTCTGGATAAGTTTGGACCTTAAGGCCCAATGTGCTTCGAACGTCAAGTCCATTGACTTAAGTTGTATGACAACTTAATGAATAATGATTCACAAAGGCCCAAATAGCCCAATAAATCCCCTTAGGCCGGCCATTTAGAGGAGGGTAGTGAACTTGGCTTAATTGCAAGTTTGCCACTCCATTGTGAGGTGGTATAAAGACATCTTTATAGCCATTTCATCCTAAGGGTTTTTCTTAGGAGTAAAGATGAGAACACAAACCTCCCTTTGCTCTCAAAGAGGCCGGCCACCTTGGAGGGATCATCTAGCAATCAAACTCCTCCAAGGTCACTCATTTCTTCTACAATATGCCTTGGTGTGGAGACTTAGAGGTTCTCAATTTTGGGAACTTGGAGAAACCTTTTCATCCATCCAAATCCATGGATCTAAGATGCAAGGAATGAAGGCCCTCTCTTTGGGTGATTAGCCTTTGCTTATGCAAAGAGGAATCTACAAAGGTATTGATTTCTCAACTCACTTTGTTTTGAGTTGAGTCTTGGTTCACCTATCTACTAGGCTTTGAAGTTCTTGGGTTAAGTTTTGTTTTTGAGTGCATATAAACATGATTCCGCCTTTTAATTGTTAATTGCATGTTGTTGATGTTGCTCAAATGAACTTGTTTTTCACAAATCTTCCTTCAAGAAATACCTCCTAGCATCAAATCAATGCAATGAGCCACACATGGGAGTCCACCACACCTTCTCTTTCCTCTCCATAAGTTTTTCCCCGGCTTGTAGTTCGAAGTATTGTCGTATATAACTTGAACCACATTCTCTTCCCCAATTTCTTGAATAACATCATCCAAATAGCCATACAACAAATCTCCATTCTTAATAGAGGTTGATGCATCAACCGATTTCAAGAACCAAGTACCTTGCGGGCTATTGACAAGAAAGTTGATTAAACACCTACTTTTGCCGTCTGACCATCCATCCGACATAATAGTGCATCCATATCTCTTCCAAGCCTTTCGATGTTCTTTCATCATAGTTTGTACATCCTCAACTTCTTCTTTGAGCATCCAAGTTCTATATTCATGGCTTGTAGGAGCATTAAAGCTGGGACCAAAATTGGATACCAATTTCATTGCATTAACATAATGTTCATTGTTTGCTGCATTGAATGGAATGGCACTAGTGTAGAACCATCGCGGAAGTGCTCGGGATGCTTGTCTTCTTTCCTCTTTTTTGAAAGGTGTATTCAATGTGGCTTGATGAGCTTCCGATGTAACATGCCTATCAAGTGGTCCCCTTGACCTAGGTGGTAGAAAAGAACCGATTTTTGTGAATGTATGGCATTCACACTCCCACTCCCACTACTTACATATGGTGTCCTTGTTGTGCCCATATCGACACTTTCACTTTCTTCTCCACCACCACGACACAACTCATGGCTCGCTTTCCTCTTTTCTTTAGTTCTCATAACATTAGCAAAGCATTCTTCCTTCACATTGGGTGGGACTTTTTTACAACTTATCATTCCTCCCGAACTTACACCACCCAAGTGATGTTTGAATCTAGAAATTGAACCCGTGCA